TTTACTCAGCTCTTTCCAGCAAGAGGATGAAACACCTCTGAAGTCAGCTGAGTACACCATACAAGCGCAAAGTCTGGTACCTTCTGATTTAACATGAAGCCCAGAGCTATTCCCCAAGATTTTCTTCTTAGTAGATGTAATTCTGCATCCATCACTAATGAAGGCAAAGCATAAACCTTCCCATGTTGATCATTAGCTTTACTGATTTTTAGTATTTCACAGAAAAAAATCAGCTTTGTTGTTTTTTTTCTTACTCCTATATCTGGAAAGATACTAGTACTAGAACATCCATCATATTATTTTATTTGTTCACACATTTTTTTACTTTATTTGTTCAAGTTTTATAAGAACATGGTCTCTCAAGGTTCCTACAGGTTCTTCCTATGATTATTCCTAACGTGTTTGACAACTACACTACTGCTGTAGTTGAAATCAACTTTGCCTTATCTCACATTCAAATAGCACATTTCACAGCCTGTATTTCTGCATGTTGTGTTAGGTTTCCTCTATAATTCGGGTGCTGTTGCTTTTTAATGCAATTAATCCTGTTTTTTAAAAAAATAAAATAAAAAGGACTACACAAATATATATATTGTTTGTAGCTTCCTCTTATTTTTATTCATATGTGGGATATTTAATCTGTGGAAACCTCCAGTCATTTCAGTTGAGTTCTACCATAGAACTTCTGGAAAAAAAAATAAATAAATCAGAAAGTAGACTTCAGTTGTATGTTCAAACATGCATGTGGAAAGCAAGTGATTCTTGTATACTGCTTTGTTCAGGTTACGGGACAAAATAATCTGTGATAATGTGAGCCAAGTTTATTTCTTCAATATAAACACAGTATTGCCTCTTTTTCCAGTTGCAATTGGATTTAAAAAAATAAATCTGAACTGTTACAATTGATCTTCCTTTTATTTAGTGCTCATCACTATACTGTGAACTTCTTCAATGTTCATGAGATAAAGGCTTTTCTCTACCTCAGAATTCATTTTAAATTTAGCCATTAGCTATCACAGATGCAGTTTAATGTAGGGATTTTAGGTCATTTCAGAACTTACCCTTTTCCAATAACAGTTTTAATCTTTGTATAGTACTTGAATATACTTCTTATAATTATGTTTCAAGTGTTATTGCAGCTATATTTCAGATTTACGTATGTAAGAAAATGTTATATTATTTTAATACTGATGGGAGAGTAAAAATCAATTCAATATTCACCTTTCAAGAAGCACAATCAAATATCCAAAAATACTATTAGACTTGCCTAGCATAAAGTTTCAAACTGCTAATGGTTTTTAAATTGATGTCATAATGCTGCAATTTAAATACATGATGTTCATTAATTTTGCCAGAAGTCTTTGTAGAGTAGGAGTGATATGAAAAAAGAAGCAAGGTTAGATTTTTCTATACATACTTCTTTTTATCTTCTGGCCCATTTTTGATACACAAGAAGACTAATTATATCAGCTTGGGGTGGGGTGTGAAGTTTACTCAAATGGCATTATTTTTCAATTAAGTAACCACTGTTTTGTATCAAAGTAATATTTTATATGAAAAAAATACCAGGAAAAGGATAAAAATAACTAAGACATAGTAGGTGTAACCTTTATCAGAGACAGAACCTATCACCAAACATCCATGGGGACTAAATAGAGGGGCAGAATAAGGGAGAGAAAGGTCATGTTGCACATACACCTCCTTCTCACTAAAAGGTCAAACACATCTTCTTGGGCAACAGAGCAATATTGCAAACAGGCAGCCATAGTCTCTCACAAATCTTTGGGAGTCCCCTCAGATAAGGATGTTGAAAAGGGAAAAAAGAGTGAGTGGAGGACTACTGATGGATCCTCTTCCTTTCAAGAGAGGGAGGACAGGCACTGCATGCAAATTTTCTAGGTGAAATATCATCTATTTCAGAAATATCTCGAAAGTCAAACTAAAATGTGTCTAGACATACTGGGCCAGTATAGTACAACACATCTATTTATATGTCAAATATAGTATGTTTACTGTACATAAAGTCAGGTTTTCCAAAGCTGTTGCTATAGCTGCAAATCAAGTGAGCTGGAGCAACAAGCTTGTATTATGTATAGCCTTAACTAGAGATTAAGTTATGTGTCTCTTTGCATTTTGTTATATATTCACATACAATCTAGTTATAGTAATCTTACTTTTTTTTCAGAATATTATAATAAAAATTCCATAGTATTCTACTGCTGAGTCAAATACACAATACCCTTGAAATATCTTTACTGCATTATTTTGATCATACCTAATAATACTCATAGCACTGTTTTGAACTTGAGATAAACACAGATATTTATATCACCATATTTCCTGATCATCTTTAATACATATTGATTTCTTAAGCCTTAACCACAAAGTAATTGATTTTCCATCATCTCATAGGATTTTCAAGTCTCATCCCACTCAGTCTTACTCCAAAAGAAATCAGTTCCTCCTAACTTCAACTTTTTTTCCTGTAGATTAAAATCTTGGGGGTTTGTTTCTTTTTCCCTTTTTCTCAGAAAGTGTATGAGGAAGGGACAGGAAATGTAGAGCAGTAATTCATCTAGATATTCTAGCTCCCCTATCTCATCAGATAACTGACTGGGTTGGTGGTAAATTCCTCTAACTGCTCTGTTTCTTTGACTTTGTATATGTACTATTTAAGTACACTGAGAAGTTGGGATTGGAGAGCCCTGGTACATCGCATGCAGCCAAGCCTCGGAGTGGAGCCTGAGAGGAACAGGTAAAGGAGAACAAAGAACAACGGTGAAGAAAAGAAGGTGAAGGATGTTGGAAGTGGCTGAGAAACAGCAGAGAGTGCTCTGGGATGGCAGAAGACACGCAGGACATAGTGGAGTAACAGGCTTCAAAGGATACACCAAACACTCAACACATTCAACAGGTGTGCATAGATTCTCTCAACAAAACAAAAAAAGATAATGGTAAAATTCATGCCTTTAAAAGCCTTCTCTCCTATCTTCTCTTCCATAGCATAATTTTCTGGTAATTCATGATGGCACAGTTTCCTCATCTTTTGGTTCTTGCCCATTGATGAGATGGCGTATGTCCCATTTTGCAGAAACATTTGTTTAGGACATTAGCTCCACTCACAGACTGGATATTCTGCCTATCTTACATACCACAGCAGCATAAAAAACTAGAAAATAATATATTAATTCTATTAAATCAGCAGAAATGCAGTGTATTTGGTACTAAGAAAATGAGAGATCTGTGGTTTTAATGTCCATGAACAACTGAAAATTGCTGGCCATCTTCATGCCAAATGTATATTTTATAAAGCAATCTGTGTTATAAAAATTGTAGCCTGAGAAAGCTCTGAGTGTGAGTGAGGAACATGAGCTGTGTAAAAGCTTTTCACAGGAGCAGCACAATAAAAATTTTCTCGCACAGGGAATAATTAAGTCAAAAGATAGTGCTTTCACAATTAGCAAGACATGTTCATTATAATTTTAATTAGCAAATATTAATGTAATCTTTGAACACAAGGGGGAAAACAATTAAAATTACTAAGTTTAAGGAGTCTTTCATGACCTAAGTTAAATTGAGACAAATGTCTTACTCATCAGTACTGGTCACCAACTTTCAGGACATTCATTTCCATTTACTGTAAGAACTTCCAAGCGTGTTATCAAATTTAAGAATGAATTAAGGTTCCCGCAAGCTACATCTAACTTCTGATGAAAGCAATGGTGAATAAAAAATGGATTAGCATGCTCCTCTCCTCTCCAGTTATCAGTTCAGACTGATAGTGATCAAGTGACTGTGGCAGCTCTACCTCATTCAGATTCCACGCCTGCTGCTGTGGCAATAACCCAGGGACATGCAGAACACAATACCCTCTCATTTTTAGTGGGTTTCTGGTCCTTTTGTATTTAAGATACTCTGGATGGAGCCTCAGCCCTTTTGAACTCAACAGCAGCTCCTACTCATTTAACTGGAACTAGGATTCATACCCTGACTCAAGCAGATTTCCTTTTGGGTGTTTGTCCTTTTTTTTGCTCTGTAGATAATGTACTTTGGCCTCCAGTAGACTCAATGCTGCATCTTACACAGACAATTAAACAACACAGAAGTCTAAAAGAAGCTGAAGAATATATTAATTTCGATTTTATAAAGAAAAATAAGTAGCAGTAAGTGGAAGTTTGATAGTAATGCTCATCCTTCATGGTGCTATAACTGATCAGAAACAAGTTCTAGAAAGAGTTTATTTTTTAAGTTAGCTTATTTTACAATTTAACATCTTCTATAAGTAGTAGAAAGAGAGAGGAAGAGTCTAGGGAAATAACACCACTACCACCAAAACCCAAAAATGTAATTAGATATTTTGCCAACTAAGTTTCAATCAGGAGTCCCCGTAAAATATAGTTTTATCAGAGAAGTATTTTTATCACACTGAGTATTTTGCAAAGTGGATACAGACCAAAGGATTTCAAAATACAGACTGGAACTACATACCTGGCTTTCAAATAACTACCAAGTGTTAATGTAATAGTCTTAGAAAAATTCAATAAACCTCTAGCTCAGTAAATTTACTAAAATTGTGAATGTTCATTTTTCAATGCATTCCCTTTTCTTTCCCCACGCATACAGAAACGCAAATAAACTACTTCTTCCTTGGATATCCAAGGCAAAATTAAGCATTTTTAGGACTTCATTACAAACACACATAAGAAAATTTCATTTTATGCTAAAAGGACTGAAGGTTTTTAATCTATCTGAAAATTTCTATTGCTTGTATAAATAGCAGTTTCACCGCAGCCAAGCACAATTTTGAGGTCAGCTCACTCCTCTCTCCACTGCACATGACAGAAATTTAAAAATACAACGGTAGCATACTTTAAAAAGACACTTTGCTCAGAAAAATTGTCTTACTTTAGTTTTTGAGTGGGCAGGTTAGTAGAAAAATAGTTATGTGGGATCAGAGAAAGAGAAATCCACTTTGTTGTGCTCTTGACACCAGGTCTTACCTCTTGTGTTTTCACATTTATGTATCCATAATGAGTTCTCAGAGGCTGCCTTTGGCCATTAGAAAACGGTACCCATTTAACACTGGTTTGTCCAAAGCAATTCAGGATCAAAGGGAAAGTTACTTCATTTGTGAGACGAACAATGATCAGACAGAGGAATGCTGCAATGAAACTCACAGTAACAGCAGACTTTCTCTGTAACAAAAAAAAAAAAAACAAAAAAAAAAAAAACAAAAAAAAAAAAAACAAAAAAAAAAAAAACAAAAAAAAAAAAAACAAAAAAAAAAAAAACAAAAAAAAAAAAAACAAAAAAAAAAAAAACAAAAAAAAAAAAAACAAAAAAAAAAAAAACAAAAAAAAAAAAAACAAAAAAAAAAAAAACAAAAAAAAAAAAAACAAAAAAAAAAAAAACAAAAAAAAAAAAAACAAAAAAAAAAAAAACAAAAAAAAAAAAAACAAAAAAAAAAAAAACAAAAAAAAAAAAAACAAAAAAAAAAAAAACAAAAAAAAAAAAAACAAAAAAAAAAAAAACAAAAAAAAAAAAAACAAAAAAAAAAAAAACAAAAAAAAAAAAAACAAAAAAAAAAAAAACAAAAAAAAAAAAAACAAAAAAAAAAAAAACAAAAAAAAAAAAAACAAAAAAAAAAAAAACAAAAAAAAAAAAAACAACAGAAAATAAATTATTAAAATTAAGAATGTTTCTCTCTATTGTAGGGTGTGGGAACAACACTTTAGATAGCTTTATGTGAAATTATTTTTATAGTAGTCACCTTGCTGCAGGAGCACAAGGAGAAGGGTGACCAGATCATTTTGTTTCAATAAGCTCGCATTTCAGAGGTTCTGAAAGTTTAGTTTTTAACAGATTGGAAATTAATCCATTTTGCTAAAAAAAATGTTTCAAAAAACATCTATCAGTTTCAAAGTTTATTTCTATTTGGAATGAAGATTTTTATGCAAACACTCACACCACAATCTCCATTCAAAATCATCAGTGTTCTGGGCACATGACAAATACACAAACTGAAAATATCACCTGCAGCCACAACATACAAAGGTTATTGTGAAGATGATAACTACAGATTGTTTATTGTGCATTAACTTTAAATAATTTCATTGCCACAGGACTCATATTCTAATCTTAAATATTTTTGCATAAATGGTGAGTGAAGCCAGCACAACATTCTGCCTTATTCCACGTTCACTAACTTGCAAAGTGAGCCATTACTATCTCAGAGAAGATAACCTCCATTGTTAATAATGTAACAGATCTGAAGCCTGTATTAATTAGCCTTTGCTTTCTACCTCTAACATATCCAGTTGGTTAGACTGGTTACTGTAACCTTAGAAAGATATCTACTTTTTTCCTAGGTAGCTCCCCAGTCTGCAGAAGAAAAAAAACAACTTGTAAGAAATACTATTTCCCTCTCATGGTTAGCTATTTTTTTAAATGCTGCAGTGAAATACTTAAGGACAAAACATGATAGCTGGCCTATGTAAAGATTCCAGGTATGATACTCTATCACAGAGGTTATTTTAAAATATTCCCTGATGGAATAATAATAATTCATGGGTGTTTTTACTGTACTTTAATGACATTACAGTTGTACCTGATTTACCACAATTTAATTACTCTACTATATGTGATTCTATCCCTCTAACCAGTAATACAAACAGTAAATGGCGGGAGGGAGGGGGGGGAAATATTTGTCTAAAGGCCTGTGTAAATACACACATAATAACACTTCACAGTGGATAGTAAAATCTGATCACCCCAATTTTTGTTAAAGGTACAAGATCATACAACACACAGGGAAAGACTACTGCAAATTGGAATTTCTGTGGCTCCATAAATATAACTAAAAATATTTTTTAAAAAACCAAGCACCTACTTACCATAGTTTAAGCCCTTCATAAGAATCAGGTAAGGCAGACTGCTCAGTGTCCAAGAGTATTCTAAAGGACACCTCTAAAAATCATTTGTTTCCCATTAAAAAAACCACCAAAATGACACACAGGTGTTATTTGTCAATAAGTAATTCTCATAAAATCTCCCTTTTTGTCAATAAGTGATTCTCATAAAATTTCCCTTTTTGCAGATAAATATTATCTTTCTTCTGATGAAACTTAAAATTTATCTTTGAAGGCTCCAGGAATTCTCCATCACATTAGGATATGACACAGACATATGAAAGTATATATAGGGTTGAATATCAGACTCCAATTTGTTCAGAATTTGTCTGCATCAGCATTTTAAGTACTTACACATTCTACCATTTGGGAGAGCTAAACCAACATTAACTATCAAGTCTTCACAGAAACAAAACTTACTCCTTCTTAATTTCCACTTCACATTAATGAAAATAGTCTCTTAATATTTATCTGGTGTGGAAAGAACCCCTGTTTAAATCTCAATCAAACTTTATATTCTTATATAATTTAATGTAGAAGTTTTTTTAATTCTACTGATATTTGACTAAAAATGTATATTCTGTTATAAATATTTTAATAGATATTCAAAGAAGAGTAAGCAATAAGATGTAATTTAAACAGTTTCTTAATTGGACGACTTATGTGGTATATTAGCCTTTGTAATACTTTATTTGTCTTACTACAGTAAATGACTAGTTTAGATGACACTTCCAAGAAGAGAATCACCACAGTTATAAATGCAGGATCCTGCAGCAGAAGAGCAATCAAGTTCACTGTTTGTTAATGATGCTTCGTCTAAGTAGGTGCTCATTCAGTCTGAACAAGTTTGAGTTTGAGTTACAAGGTTTTAGTAGTGGGGGACTTCTGTGAGAAGCTGCCAGAAGTTTCCCCCATGGCCAACAGAGCCAATGCCAGATGCCTCCAAGCAGACCTGCTGCTGGTCAAGGATGAGCCCACCAACAACAGTGGTAGCACCTCTGGGCTAACATATTTAAGAAGAGGAGGAAAAAGTTGCTGCAAGCTGCAGCTGCATCCAGAGAGAGAAATGAGAATATGCGAGAGAAATGACTCTGCAGACACCACGACCAGTGAAGACAGAGGGCCAAGATAGCTCCAGGCACCAGACAGAAGATTCCACAGTAGCCTGTGATGAAGACCATAGGGAGGCAGATTGACACTTGCAATCCATGAAGGTTAACAGAGGAGCAGATACCCATATGCAGCTCATGGAGGACCTCCACACCAGGGCAGGTTTGTGCCCAAAGGAGGCTGTGACTTCATGGGAAACCTATGCTGGAGAAGGCTCCTGGCAGGGCTTGTGGAGAAAGGAGCCCACACTAGAGCAGGTTGGTTGGCAGGACTTGTGACTGTGTAGCAAACCCATGCTGGAACAGTCTGCCCCTGAAGGACTGCACCCCATGGAAATGACCCACATTGGGGAACTTAGTGGAGGACTCACTGCTGTGGGAGAGACCCTCACTCTGGAGCAAGGTAAAAGTGTGAGATCAGCAGAAGCAGCAGGTGAACTGACCACAGCTCCTGTCCCACTGTGGGGGAGGAGATAGAGAAATAAAGAGTAAAGTTTTTTGGACATGGGAAGAAGGGAGGGGTTGGGAGCAGGTACTTTTAAGATATGGGCTTATTTCTCATTAGCCTTCTGTCATCTGATTGGTAATAAAATCATTTTCTCCAAGTGAAGTCTGTTTTGCCCATGATGGCAGGTGGTGAGAGATCTCACTGTTCATATCTTGACCCACTAGCCTTTTGTTGTATTTTCTCTCCTCTGTCCAGCTGTGGAGGGGAGTCATAGAGAAGCTTTGGTGGGCATCTGGCATTCAGACAGGGTCAATCCAACACAGAAATTATTCTTTTATAATCTGTTAAGATGTGATGACAAGATCATTTTCATAGGTCAATAATGCCTGTTAGAATAAGTTGACACATACCTTTTTTGTGAGCTATATGTTTTTTTAGCAGGGAGAAAGAAAGGAAATATTTTCAGCATAAGAAGATAACTTCATAACTTGTAAATTTTACTGATGTGTGTAGTATCATTATTCTACTTTCTAGCCCAACAGCAACACCCTGCCACTTAGAATGTATTATATGGCAGAGACTATCAAACCACTTTACAAGCAGTAATAAATCCCCATCCTAGTGAGATTAACAGTAAAAACCCATTTCACAGATGCATAAACTGAGGCTGAAAGCAACTTCCCTAAGATGACAAAGAAATCAAGAGAAGCTACTCCTAAACTTTTACTCTAGAACTATGTTGTTTCTCAGGTTTATTGTTTCTATTATAACTGCCTGCCTGAATTTGGCAAGTGCCAACATCGGATATATTATGGAAGACTCTAGTAAAGAACCCCTGGAACCAGTAAAGTTCCATACCCCAAACAATAACTGAAATTAAATCTTTTCACAGAAATTGATTTTTTTTCAGCATTCATTTTTCCTGTTATTTTCATGGATACAGGGTAACACTGCACTTGGAAGGACAAATCAAAGGTAAGGACTTACATAAGGGCTTAAATTTTCTTAGATGACATAACATGCAGTAATATAGTATTAGTTTCACAATACCTACCTTTATGACCATACTGAATAACTCAATCATTTTTTAATACCTGTGCACATTATACTACTTTTATTACAGGACTGATGCAGGGTTTTGGTTTTTTACTCAAGTATAATACCAATTGAAAATAGTAATGGCTACACTTACTGAATTTGTTTTATTTTTCAGATCACTATATATAAAAACTAGTTTTATTTAATTTTCTCTTTTATAGTCTTGAGCATCCTCTTCAAATGCTACTTTCTGTTACAGCAGAGCATAAAATGAAATTCTCTCAGTACACTAGTTCAGCTTTCCTTACTGAATTCACTGGTATTAGAAATAAATATGGCTTCAAGCTATTTCTTTTGTCCTGAACCTCCCTTTAATAGGGCTGCTGGAGGGACACTCAGGCAGGGGTCCTAAAAATTTTCAGAGAGGGAGCAAGACTACATGGCAAAGATCTTATTAAAAATAGACATGTGTCTAACAATATTTGCATGAAATTGGTAGCTACTTTCTTCCCCTCTAAAAGTCAAAGTTATCCTGAATATGTTTAAAGACTCCACGGGTAATGGCTGTCAATGTTTCTCTCTCAGGAGAAGAAAGCATGTAAGGGCTTATATCAGAAGTAAACCTGGTCTGGGTTCAAAACCAGTAAAGTTACTATTAAAGCAATTTTTTTTTAGTTTTGTTGTTTGGTTTTTTTCTG